ATGCTTACCTTGGATTTTTTAATACACTAATTCTTGCACTAGAAGTTGCAGAAATAGAATTTATAATCTTTACAATGGGTTCTGCTTTGCCAAGATTCTTTACAACAACATAACAGCCTAGTCTACCTGGTTAGAGTGGTCTTACTGGATTAGGAGTAATACATCTCCTGTGAAGCATCGTTTCTGGTGATTTTAGTAGTTTCAGTGAAACTGCTCATTTTAATCACGCTTACCAGCCCAAACATGTACTAAACACTAACAGAGCTGTGTGGTCATGTTATGGTATCTAGGGCATGGGATTTGCCAGTGATGGCACCTTGAGTATTGAGTCAATAGGCACCAAGAGCATAAATCTATATTTAACATGTTTCAGTGATAACACTTTCCTGTATGGCTTAGTTGACCCAATTTTAGACTGTCTTTCTCCTCTAAGGGTCTTGAATTCGATTCCTGGGATAAAAACTTTTGACTAGGAACGCCCAGCGGCATTACTCAACATGATCAACACTCCAAGATTTTCAGTGCCTCTGTACAAACACACCTAAACTAAACAATGTCACTATACATATACACACACAGATAAAAAGATAACGGCTGAAAGGACTTTGTCTTTAAGTTAGCCAGAGACATAAGGTGGAAATACTGATGTCATGAGTTGGTTAAACACTCTGGTGAAGACAGTTAAGAGAGCTTATTCCCTAGTTCTTCCTATCAGCAAAGTTTCCTACTTTATGACTTGTGAGGAACTCTGGATCTTCCCTGAGTCTTCCCTGTCTGCAACTCCTCAATTCAAATCGCACTGGAATTATTAAGATGCACAGATATTCTACTGTGTTTTACTGGGACACAAATAACACACAGACACTCAAACTTCAAAATAACAGCAGCACTACATTTAATAAGCTCCTGTGAACAATGGAAACGTTGTGGCAGCTAAACACCTCCTTTTCCAGATGCCTGAAGTGTTAAGCTGAACTAAGGTTTTATCAAGTGCTTTGTGAACCTGAACAAGTAAATCTTTCTGAAAAAATAGTCAAATATTCTCATCTGGATTAATTGTAAATGTCTGCTTCTTTACAGAACCAAAGACAGAGACTGCCTCTAATGGATTTTTGATCAAACTAACAATGCAGCCCCCTCCCCACAGTGTGAAATGAGTGGCACCAACTTAGTCCTAACTTGCTTCATTTCAGGTGTACAAAGATCTTCTAACTGTTAAAATCCACATCTTAGCTAGGTAAAATCATTCCAGTTATGATGGAATGCCTTTGTGTTCAGAAGGCTTTTAGTTTGTCCAAATCCCAGTTGTATGTGTTAGTAGCTGTGCTCTTGAAACCACAGCACAGGTAGTCATTTATACCTGCCTTGGGGATGTCAGTGCTCAGTATGTGGGGATCTTCAGTCTTTGCTCCAACACCTTCCCTGCTGTTTTTATTTTGAAAGAAGAATATTTACCCTTCCAGATGGCAATGTTTGCAATACTTGGAGCCAAAAACCTTAGCAGAGTCTGTTCTCTGGACAGCAGTAATGTAATGAAAAAAGGTAAAAACAGTCCAGGAAGGGAGTAAAGTGCACAGCAAGACAGAGGCAAAGACTCCTGAGACCTACTCATTTTTTGATAACTTAAGGTATATAGTTTCATGTTAATAAGTGTTCCAGCTTTCCATGGGCAGTTAACAAGCCCATGGAAAACCAAATAAAAAGAAAAAAAAAAACAGTAATAATGAGAAAACAAGCGTTCTTTCTCATTTTGCCTTCGCACTTCACCATCTATTCTCTATTAACTGCTCTCTTCATTTGTTTGCTCAATCTTCTCTCTTGAGCAGATAAAAGGGTTTCATTAAAGCAAAGCCTAATGCTGCCAGTGGCAGGAGAGCTGCCAACCCTTGTGGTTTTAGTAAGTCTATTAAGCTGACCTAAGCATGCTAATACTTAATAAATGCCTCCTATTCACAGCAGTCTTTTGCAAATATTCCTTTTCCCAATGTTAAAAACTAACTTATGCAATTCAAATGAATTACAAAAGAGCAGACCCCACACTCTACATTATCTTTAAATAGAGAGATATGTCCTAAGAGAAGCAGCAGCACACTATCAATCATAACCTCTGCTGTACCAGAAGCACTTCTTGAGACTACAGAAAGGTCTAACAACAGCTTCATGAAAGTATTTCATTTTAGAGATTATTACAAAGAAATCAGCAGTGGACAATCAAAACAGAACTTTTTTTTTTTTTTCCCCAAGGATTTCCTGCCACAGCTCATTTGCAGAGCAGATGTTCTAAACCTATCTGAAGGATATCCATTATACCTATCTAGCATGCTTTATCTCTAATTTATCCAGAGGGGGAAAAAACCCAAACAAACAGATTCTACCAATTACTGACATCTTCCATCACTGCCACAGCACTTAATATGGTAGAAAATACTCTGAAGAATAACAGGGGAAATATATAACAGTACTAGAAGGCATCACTGCTTATTCAAGTAAAAGCCTCTGTCCTTAATATCATTTGCCTTGGTTTGATGCTCCACAGGTCCGGTTATTGCTTCATGTTTCAGCAAAACAAAGTTTTTAAAGAAAAAAGCATCGAACATGCATCTGTTACATAAAGGAACAGATCTGTAGCAGTAGAAGAGTGTCATTTCAACAAAAATCTTGACACTAAAAAATTAATGAGGCTTCCAAAAGAAAAAATGAGAGTGCTCACACCAAAAAGAGAAGACTGATCTTAATTCTTCTCTCCTGAAAGATTAATGTAATTGTTTATGTAATGGAATAAATGCTGGGTGGAGAGGGGGGGCACGAAGGAGAGGGCACCACCTTAATGCCTAACATGAAAAATATTGAACATGCAGCATGAATTATTTAAGTGCACATTTACCTAAGAACTACTGTCAGGCAAGTGAGAAATGATGGCGGAGCATTCTCACAGTGTCATTCCTCCCGCCCTTTGTCACGACCACAACAGAAAACACCTAATGATGGAGAAAGGCTTCAACCCCATTCTGCTCCTAAATTCATAACTAGAGCCCAGTTTTGTAGCAAAACCCTGAGTATTTCTCCATTCTTAAGCTTATGGG